TCAAATAGTCACAGTTCCATGTTCCGCAAAGTTTTCCCTTTGATTTGTTCCTCAGGCCCTTTCCTCCCCACCACTCCCCTCTTCCAGAGGCCCCGCAATCCACTTCAGCTCCTTCATTGCCTGCCGGGTCCTTTTCCTGTTGGAGCGTGCCTCTTTGCTGATGCCCAGTGCTAGGCAGAAGCTCTCATGCCGGCCACACACCAGTGGCTCAGAGTCCACGAGCTACTGTACCAGGGAGCGGGAAGGGCAGCAGTGTCAAGGTGGCGTCTATCAGCCCACTGATTGAAGACACCTGCTTCTACCATTAGGCAGAGGCCCCTCTTTTCCCCCCAATGCACATGCGCACGCACGCACACACACACACACACCCCCCCCCCTCACTGCCCTGCAGCAGCCTTGGGCTAAGCAGTGAATCCAGCCAGGCAGCTCATATGAATGGCTGAGGCCCCGCTGGTCTCAGGAGGCACAGGACAAACACAAGACTGAGTGTGCACACAGATACCTGCCCACAACTGCAGCTCCTGACCCCAGAGGCAGGGAGGAGGCAGTGTGCAAAACATACAGAGAACTGGGGGAGGGACAGGCCCAGGGTGGGGGAGAGGAGGGAGAGAGAAAGGCAGTCTCTCCAGAGTCTTGTTGAGTCCCTGGTCCATGTGGAAGGAGGAGTCCTGGTCTCAGACATGGGCAGCCACAGGTGCCACATTGGCATCCAGCCCACCACCAGGCCGAATCTGCCTGGAGACAACGCCTCCCATGGTGCAGTCTTTCCACTGTGGCTGGTGGGGCTGGAGCGAGTGGAGGGTGGGTGCCCGCTCACATCATGATGTGCCGCCGGCGGTGCAGGGCCAGGTGGTCTGAGCGCGAGAAGCTGCGGTCACAGTCCGAGCAGCGGAAGGGCTTGATACCCGTGTGCTTGCGGAAGTGCCGGGTGAGCTCGTCGGAGCGGGCGAACTTCCAGGTGCAGCCTTCCCAGGTACATTTGTAAGGCTTCTCTCCTGCAAGGGACAAAGGAGGGCTCAGTGCTCGGGCACACACCACTATTAGCATTAACTTTATTAATTCTATTATGGTAGCAACAACTGGCCGTCATTGAAATCAGGTAGTATTACACACTTAGTGGGTGCAATATCCACAGGCTTTAGCCAAGACCAGGCATCACTGCTTATTAGGTACATTATGGTTGTACATATAGCCCCTAACCCTAGACCAGCTATTGCCTTCAGGTGTCCTTAGATCAGGGGTGTCAAACTCAGCTGTCCTCACAGGTTGAACGAGTCACATAGGGCCAGTCCGTGGACTGGATCCCTAGCAAGGATTGGCATCATCTGGCCTGCAGAACCAGAAATTTGAGAGCACTAGCATTTGTTGCTGTGACTCTTTCTGCCACCAATTTTCCAGTTCCACAGGCCAAAAAACACAGCTCTCTGCACTCTGGATCCTACCTGTGGGGTTGGAATTTGGCAATAAAATGAAAGGCAGCAGCATTCACTGCCACAACTTCAGAAACTGTACCAACTACTGCTGCCGCCTCTTGTCCAGCTGGCAAATTTCCAACTGTGGGCCGCATGAAACAGCTCGGCAGGCCGGAACTTTGTCACCCTGCCCTAGATGCTACTGTAATACACCTAGTAAGAAAAAATGCCTGGCCAGGGTTAAGGGCTGTAGGTACTACACCATGACCTACCATTTCTCATACAGGGTATTATGGTAGCATCAAGATCTGGCATTGGCATTTTATGTTCTGGTACAGCCTACAAACCAAGATCAGCATCCCACTGTGCTGGGCCTTGCAGAGGGAAAATACAGACACAGCATCTTCCAAGGCTTTGTTACAGGCCCTTGAGGAGGCGCAAAGGATGCTTAGTGTGGCCATGCCAGGCCTCAGCAGAAGGCCTGTTTAACCTTTACCAAAAAGTTCCTATCCCCAAAACGTTAATTAGTCATTCAAGGTAAAAGAATGTAACAAAAACACATCAAAGTGTTTTGAACAGCAGGCAACTGCCATGGAAGCCATGGAAACACCAGCCCATAAGGTGTTCCCCTTGCTTCAGCTTGTCCAGCCAGAGTCTGAACTCACAGAAGCTGTGGAGATGCAAGGAAGTTCTATAAATCACTAGGTGCCCCGCAGGTACAAAGAGACAGTTACCTTTGCGAAGGGCAGCTGTTGTTGCTGACGTGTGGGGCAGAAGCCACTGCTAGGCTGGGGGATGCAGGAGTTGCTGGGATACTGGAGGGGCTGCTAGGATACTAGGAGGGAGGAAGGGTTGCTAGGTTACCGGCGTGGGAAGTGAGGGGGCTAGGTTGCTAGGATGCTGAATGAGAACCCTTAGACTGGCAGGGTGGAGGTGGGAGACACAGAACACTGGAGTTAAGAGTCTGCTGGCCACAGAAGCATCCCAGAACAGCAGATGCTGCTCCTCTCCCCTGGCACGAAGGGAGATGGGGGGGGCAGAAAGATGCCTTATTTATGGAAATGAAACATTTTCTAGATTATTTTAGGCAGTTGTAGAAACTTATTTCTCCCCTCCAGCTGGGAGGCCAGGAGACAAAAGGAGCTTTCAAGCAG